AATGACACAAGATAACACACCCCCTGGACCGATTTTCAAATCTCGATCTCTCAACAGCAGAAAGAGTCACGGCGCCGAAAACGGCGGCGTTGGAACCGTCTCGTCGACAGCTTTTCAAAAATTTATCGTTTCGTTTATGCATCCTCTTGGTTGTGGAGAAATCGAGCTTTGAAAATCGGTCCAGGGGGTGCGTGATCTCAAGTCTTATACATAACTAATACTCCGAAAAAGGCTCTTCCAACTTTCGGAGATTCACCGAAAGCTCTGCGCGCAAGCGCTTGAATCGCGAATCGAAGCCCGTGTGTGTTCTGCTGATTTCAGCCTACACATCGCGCCACGCACGGCCTCGAGATTCGCCCTGTGCGCCGAGCTACGGCCGTTCTAAGCTCAAAGCTGGTGTTCTCGGTGACGTCACACCATCCATTTAGCCAGACAGGCACAACATCTCACTTTTAGGATTTTCCCATTTAGAGAAATTCACCTAGAGCTCGGTGCACAGATGCGTTCACTACGAGTCGAAGCTACTGCGTGTTCTGCTAGATTCAGCCATCACAGCGCGCCACCTACGCCATCAAGATTCGCTCTGCGCGCTGCGAAATCGCTGCTCAAAGCTGGGTTGCGGGGACTCGCCCGTTCAAATCGCAAGACACTCGCTTTCTGATCTTTGGAGGGGTTGCTGGAAACGTGGACATCTTTTTGTGCTCGCTCGCCCAGATACATGCGCGCTTTTTTCTTTTAGCATGTAGCTTGCCGGGGTATTCGGGTACAGGCGCGCCACCTGCGGCCTCGAGCTTCGACGTGGTGGCAGAGTTATGTCCGTCTGAAGCCGTTGACCGATATTTCGGGTGACGTCGTACATACTTTCGCCAACATTAGGGTTCCGGCTCTTTGATTGAGGGTCTGTTTTCCGCGCAATCGCGCGTGTTCAGCGCACAGGAGCACTTTTGTCAAAAAAAATTGGGTGTGGCGTGTTGTCTTTTCTGTGCCGGTGCCATCGCACCCGCTTTGGGCTACGGAGTACATTCNTGATTGAGGGTCTGTTTTCCGCGCAATCGCGCGTGTTCAGCGCACAGGAGCACTTTTGTCAAAAAAAATTGGGTGTGGCGTGTTGTCTTTTCTGTGCCGGTGCCATCGCACCCGCTTTGGGCTACGGAGTACATTCCCATGCTGAGCTTTCGTGTGGGTGTGTTTGAGTCCGGTGCTGGATCTTCACGCACGGGATGCGGAGAATCATTAAAAACTATTAGTCGTGTGTCGAGTGCGGAGGGCACGTTTTATGAGATTTTGGTTCTGCGTCATGGCAAAGTGCCTGTTCGGAACGCAGCGTAACTATATGTAACGTTTCGTCTGTAAGTGACACGCGGAATTTTTTATTGTTCACGGGTTTACATGACATCTGTTGCTCCCCACCCCGACTACTTCTAATCGCACGGCGAAAAAAGGCCGCCTTTCGATTTGGGGACCGCCTTTAGGAGTCCGGGAGCGCAGAAGATGCTTGGGCAAGGCCAGAGAGGATTGCCGGCTATAAACGTACGCTTCGAGGATGAGGAGGACGATTTGATCTTTTTGGCGGAAGACCCAGAGAACATTTTCACTCCAACTCGGGGTGCAAACGTAGTAGCGGTAGAAGCTNGTTTACATTGTAATTCTATTCTCAAATTTAAGTCCCATATTTTTTTAAGCCAACCCTCATAAGTCATAAGCGGATGCGTCCACCTCAAGTGCCTTTACGGCAAGAGCCAGACTCTCGTGTTACACGATCGACGGTAAGAACAACTCAACGACAAAAAAAAAAAAAAATCGATACAGTTCACGACCTGCTACACGCGCGTCTCGGCAACGACCGCTTCGGCCAACAACAAATACTGAACAAAGCACCACAGAACAACGTGTAACGCGTTCTGCTTCAAGGAGAACCTCGGCTGCACGTGAAACTTCGGCACGACAGACTACACGTATAGAACAGATTGTGCAACAAAACCGCAGACAAAACAATCTCCGTCCCAGACCACGTAGACGACCACCATATTGTGCTGACGATGCCGATGAGAGCGATGACGACGAAATTAGTGACGAAGATCGTAGTACCAACAACGGTAGTTACGACGAAAATGACAACGAACTTCGCACGATTCAAAACCACTTCAACCGAACGCGTAATCGAGCACCTAGACGCCCTTCAAATACGATCAACCGTCATGCTAGCGATGATGACGACAACAGTAATGATGGCGACAGCAACAATGCCGACAACAACGCCCTATCTTATGCCATACAGCCTTTCAACTGTCTTCACCCCAATTACCCTGCATCCTCACACCAGTTCAACCAACCTTTCCTCGAGCACGACGACAATCATGTGTGTAAGCACTACGACGCCATTTTACGGAAAGAAGAAAAGCACACGTATAACTGCTGTAACAGCGGCCGATTTGCCATGCCGCGTCTTCGTCCGATTCCTTCCCATCTACTTGCAGTTTTTGGTTCGGCCAGATTCCGTTCAGCACAAAGACGATACATCAGTCTGTTTGCATTTACCGGATTAGGTGCAGGGGGAATTGAAAAGCGTAGTTGGACTCAACCTCCTGCTCCCTCCATGCTGACCCTCCACGGAAGAGCGTACCACAGAACATTTGACTTGCAGGTACACCGACATGAACGTTACAATTAACGCCAGATTTTATATCTACGACTCAGAATTCAATGCCCAATCAGCATCCCAACACCTTGACAATCAAATTTGGAATACTCTGCGCCAACACGTCAACATCAACATTCCATGGGCGGCACAATACCGTTCAGCCGTAAGCATCATAGGTCTCACATCCGCCGACAATGCCAACACACCGTACATAGAGTTTGCTCAAGTGAGTCGTGCAAATGACGGCCCAGTTGTGGGTGACGCCGTGTCAGCCCCAGAGATTGTTGCGTTGGTTTACAACTCAAACACACAGAACAACGGACCTCGCCCAGTAGTGACATACCCAAGAAACAGCCCTGACAACAAACCAAGATTCCTGCCGCTTTGGAGTGCCGCTTACGAAACTCTTCAGTTTTCAATGTTGATGCTGCACGGAGAGGCAGGTTGGAGTAAAGGACACCCAGACGAAGACCCTCCACATAAATCAAAAACGATGAACAAATGACGCGCATGTTACTTTCCCCTTCTATTGCCGGCAACGTCTGCTTTGCGGACCGATTTTCAAACGAAACTGTCGCATTACTCAAGAATGGGCTTGCGACTCCCTGAGTAGAATGGAGGAGGAACTTTTAAGTTTTGTTGGACACGGCCCTTTACAACGCAGACTCGCAACAGATCGATCCATTCGACAAAGTTCCTCAGAATCACCGCCGGGAAAGCTGCTTCCAGCAAGTCACCCAGGATCCATGAGCAAACGCAAGTCTGATACAGAAGATGCATTGGCTATTGTCAACAGAAGGGGAAAGCCTCACTTATTCATTGCCGTCACGTTCAACGCTGACTGGAAGGAGGTGAAAGACAACCTCTTGAACGGGCAAAGCGCATTTGACCGTCCAGATTTATGTTTCCGGGTTTTTAAGGGAGTTAATGCTTTGATGAAAGAATTTAAGAGCGGAAGAGTCTTTGGCGAATATGACAGCCATGTAAGTGTAATCGAGTTTCAAAAAAGGGGATATCCACACGCACACATCCTCATGACTTCTGAAAATGGTGGTCCCAACCATTTAGACGAGATTGAAGAATGGGTTTGGGCCCAACTTCCCAGTGCCGAACTTGCAAACGGTACTCTCCGAGAAAAGGTGCTAAAGTATATGACCCACAAGCCGTGGGGAACGCACAACGTCAACTCTCCCTGCATGGAGACCAACCGCGACACCAACAGAAAACACTGCAATAAACACTCTCCGCAGCCTTTCAGAAGCACGGCAACAATCAACGACCGGACAGGGGGTGCGGAGTATAAGCGAACCGACAACGGGGACAGCCCTACCATACGCGTAAGAATAGACGGTAAATGGCAAGATGGTAAGGTCGGAAACGAGTTGGTCGTTCCCTACAACCCGTACTTATTATTGATGTTTGATTGTCACATATGTGTGGACGTTGTGACTGCTACCTCGTGCGTAAAATACCTGTTCAAATACGTACACAAAGGCGCCGATTATGCCAAAGCTAGATTCCAAGGTATTACCAGCGAGATAGCGCAATACCGTAAAACTCGATACATCTCTGCTGCCGAAGCTACATGGAGATTGCTAGGATTTCAAATGGTCAGCAGATTTCCAGCAGTTACAAAGGTGCACGCGCACTTAGAAGGCGACCAGTACGTCACATACCCGCACGATGCTACCCCAGAGCAGTGCCTTCAAATTGCCGAAGATTCTCCTTCTGCTCCAATGATATACTTCAAAAGGCCGACTGACGAAATCTTCACACCGCAGACGCTACTAGACTACTACGTAAAAAACACCGTTACAAAACGCAAAAAGGGACAACAAAAGCCTACATCCGCGCCTCCTGGGAGGTTCTTAGACTCCTGCGGCAAAATAATGTCATGTAGATCTGAGAATAACCAGCACGTGTGTCGAATCGTCTTCCAGAGCCCTGCGGTTGGTGACTTATTTTACCTGCGTCTACTGTTGCACACAATTCCGGGAAGATCTTTCAACGACCTGCTTCTGGTGCCTCAACCTGACTCCACTCCATTTCAACATGCGACCTTCCATGACGCGGCGAGAGCGAGAGGATTAGTGACTGGTGACGAGGAATACACCATTTGCATGGAACAAGCAGCATCTTTCCAAGTGGCAAGCCAACTTTGAGCACTATTCGTGACCCTCATCTTAGACGGAGGTTCTGCTCCAAAATTATGGTCAGAATTTCAACCTAATTTGATCGAAGATTTTGTCCTAATCATGACGCAAGAAGAATCGATCCAAGAAGCTCTTCGCGAAATTGACTTGAAGCTTCAATTGCACGGGAAAACCAATGAGCAAGTCAACCTTCCTGCGGCTCAGCACTCAAGGACAGAATACGAAAGAATGAGAGACTCTTTTGACGTTCACACGTGCAAACAATACGCAGAAATTCACGAGCGAAATCTTACTGCGGAACAGCATCACGTTTACAAGACCGTTATAGCCTCTGTCAACAACGGAGAGGGCAAACCTTACATGATTGATGCACCAGCTGGCACAGGAAAGACATACACGGAGAAATGCCTAGCTGCGAAACTAAGAGGCGATGGAAAAACAGTTTTGATTGTCGCCTCGACTGGAATCGCGGCCCTGCAGCTACCGGGAGGTTGGACAGCCCACTCAATGTTTAAACTCCCAATGGACGAAAACATGTCTCCTTCATGCGTCTGTAACATAAACGCCCAAACACAAAGGGCTGAGTTGATACGCCATGCTGACCTCATCATTTGGGATGAACTACCGATAACTCATCGTAACTGCGTTGAGGCTCTAGACAGAACCCTCACGNCTCGACTGGAATCGCGGCCCTGCAGCTACCGGGAGGTTGGACAGCCCACCCAATGTTTAAACTCCCAATGGACGAAAACATGTCTCCTTCATGCGTCTGTAACATAAACGCCCAAACACAAAGGGCTGAGTTGATACGCCATGCTGACCTCATCATTTGGGATGAACTACCGATAACTCATCGTAACTGCGTTGAGGCTCTAGACAGAACCCTCACGGACCTCATGCGAAACGACTTACTTTTCGGTGGTAAAACCATCCTTTTCTCAGGTGATTGGAGACAGACTGGACCTATCGTAAAGTTTGGATCTCCCACAGACACCGTTGACGCCGCCGTCATTTCCAGCCATCTATGGAACAATATTTGTCGCCTCCGGCTTACCAAATCTCAAAGAGATAAGGACGACCCAGCATACGCCTTTTTTGTCCGAAACGTTGGTGAAGACAAATTGCCATCCACAGCCATGCCTGATGGAACCAACCTTATCCCCCTCAATAACCACTCCACAGATTGCCCTGACCAGTTCCAACTGCAATATACGACGGATTTCAATGAATTAGTACGTTTCGTCTACCCTGACATGTCCGAGGACGCAACCACATGGAGCGACCGTGTCATCTTAGCCACTACAAACAACGCTATTGATCGATCAAACCAAATCATATCTGACGAACGTCCGGGACGTTCTGTATCGTTTTACAGCTCAGATTCCCTCATCAAGGACGCAAACTCTGCACCCACAGCTTTTGCTGCGCCTGAACATCTGAATCAACTGAACGTCTCAGGTGTACCTCCTCATGAGCTCAAACTCAAGTCAAACGGCCTCGCCATGATTGTTTGAAACCTCAACTTTTCTGAGGGCTTGGTGAATGGACAAAAATGCATATTGAAAGCAGTGTCACCAAACAGTCGTGTCATTCAAGTCGGACTTCTTACCGACGAGCTCCCTCGGCCCATAGTTTTGATCCCGAGAATTGAATTCCCTGCACAGGTTGGAAGAAATGGCATAACATGCGTGTGCACTGTCCTCTCCGAACTGCTTACGCCATGACTATTAACAACAGCCAAGGACAAACACTAAAGAGAATTGGACTAGATCTGCGTTCTTCACCCTTTGCCCACGGTCAACTGTACGTTGCCTTAACTCGAGCTCAGAACCGATCCACGGTCATGGTGCTTCTGCCCCGTCCTCAAGTCGTGAATGGAGTCCCTTACACTGAAAATGTTGTGTACCCTCCTTTCACGGAAGCCGCCACGGGCGACACCAACAGCATTCTTCCTAACTCCTCTATACCTGCTGCTCCTCCCGCTGCGCAACCTGCTCCGCCACCTCCACCTGCTCCTACACCATACTGGGTAGTCCAACCTGAACTGGGAGGTGGTAACTGCGGCTTCAGGGCCATCGCCCGGCGTGTCTTAGGCGACCCTGACGTGCACCTTCATATTCGAGCTCAAATTGTGCAATACATATCTAACAACAGACATAACGTTCATCTACACATTTATGACGGCCTTCAATCTGAACTGCTTTATGGTGCAGGCGTTCACCCTTTTCAATATTTTTCCTATGACGACTACGTCACGAAGATGTCAATGCCTAACACACATATGGGTCAGCCTGAAATAACAGCCGCAATTGAAATATACGACATACCCATACATCTACACTTCAACGCTTCAACCTTACCTTTGCCTCAAAACGCGCTGCCAAACGAACTTAATCTGAGATTCACGGCCAACAGTCGTCACTACGACACCTTCTTACTAATGCCACCTGCGCCCTCCTTGCCCCAAATTTAACCAGGATGGACCCTACATCTGCACAAGGCTCGCCTTTGACCTACGAGGAAATAATCTTCGCGTCCGCGGACCACGACGACGAGCATCAATACAATGAACTTCTCCTCCTTCGCGACTACGAAGAAGAACTGGCTCAATTTCAAATCTACGGCCAAGATCTGTGGAGTTGGTTTCAAAATATGTCATCATGGGCACCTTTTTGCTAGACCACCACCTTTTTTGGTGCAATGCTGGAATAGTGGGGAGGGAGTCCTAATCTTTTAGCTGGCTCTCTAACTATCGCTATACATCGTGTCCAGCGCCACGGTATATGTTGCGAGATTTGCAAGGGTCGGCAATATATGTGAAACAGTGCGACGAAAACATTAGATGTAACAACAGCAACAGCTACAACTACATGTAGCCGTCGGTGATTGTGCGTTTTATAATTCATGACTGAAGACATTGCATCATAGTTTTGTCTTTACCTGTCGAGTTGTGCGGGTGCACCATCGTCTGCTGCGCACATCGACTACATCAAAACTCCTTCCGGGACTGTCCAGAACATGCCTTCAGAATACCTATCATCTGCTTTCTTTGCGGTATTCCTCTGGCGCCATCGCTGCAGCTTTCTTTGCACAAACTGTTGCTGCATGGTCGGCGCCTCACCTTCATGTGCAAGCTTTATGACAACATGCTACGCGACATTCATGTTCATCCACCACTTGGTATTACAGCATCCCCTTCAACAACTACACCTACCTCTATTTCTAGCCTCTACTGAGGACGGGGGGGGCGTTGGCCCCCGCGTCCGGGGCCCTTGAATACGGTATTTTGTCCGCGAGGACTCATTGGAACAGCGATAACGTTGCAATGCAGCCTGATGGGCCCCGTGCTCTTCTTGGCCGTATGATACCAGAGGTATCCACGGCGCCAGGCAGTCCGCCTCCCACCTGCACCTGGAGAGCGCCAACAGCATCTCCCCGCACACAGCGTGGTAGCAGCAGCAGGGGCAGAATAGAGTATTCAATTTTTGTCCTCTACGCCGCCCGTCGATGGAGGACCGCGCCTGTCGTGCAGCCAACAGTCCCGCGCACCACCGCAGTCCAGGGACGAAACACACTTGTGCCGAGAGAGAGAAGAGAACGAGAGCATATGCGGATGAAACATGACTGCAACTCTGTTGCACAAGGCGAAAATAGGGGACACAATATTTCCATCCCCGAATTCTCGACGCAGGCATTATGACTCGATACGACAATTCCTATCGTTCATATGCATACGCCAGACCCACTTCTCGCTCTCGTTCAGTATTGACCTGCATTGCCCAACGCATTTATTCCAAGGCACGTTAGCACCGCATCGTATTTTATGCACAAGTATACGTCTACTCTAGCAGTTTTGTTGTTTTTGTTGTTTTTCTCCCATCATTGGATTCGTCGTCTGCCCTTTTGTCCCCTATCCTCCACTTCTACCAGCTAGACGACCCAACCGGGGTCACATAGGAGGGGGGGGTTGGACCCCCTCCTGCGGTTCCTGCCTGAGATATTTTTATCACGAGAAGGGTACAGCAATCCCTTCCCTCGCGACTTATGAAGTCGACCAAGTTTACTAGCAATGCGTGGGCACAAATACTACATGCTGTGCACTGCTGTGCATTGCACAACAAATAGGCCTGTCCTCCATCGGCCGTTTTATTTTCGATTTAGATAAACAAACTTTTTTTCTATACTAATTTCAAGTAATTCCACCTTCTTATTCTCCGTCATACAAGCAAAACGGCCGATGGAGGACAGGCCTACCACAACAATGGTTAATTCTCCCGCAGGGGCCCCGCGATACAAACATAGTGGTTACGTACTGACGGGACATTTGATGCTGCAAGAAGGCCCCGATTGCTGCAGCGTGTGCTGTACTTCCAGCTTATCAAAGCAGCGCCTACGACCACGGACTAAAACTGGCTCACGGCGACGCATCATCGTGTTGGTGACCATGTTTTCGAGAGCCCTCCCTCGTGCTGCGAATGCCGCCGGCGGCCCCTGCGCAGCCACGTCTCGACGGCCCCTCGCCGCATCCGTTCTCTCGGTTGCCAGGCCCCCTGGCGTCAGCAGCAGCGCTTCAGCAGCAGCAAGGCGTGCTGCTACGGGTCGAGTGCGAATGTGGGTTGCGAGCCTGAGCACTGCTGCTGATGTGGGAAAGGAGCAGTCGCCTCTTGCGGCGCGGACTGGTGGACAAGGTGCGAAGTGGGTGGAGAGAGGTGATGCTGGACGCTTACAGCCCTGCTTGCCGTGGCAACCATGCGTGCGGCTGCGGCGCAGTTTCTGGAAGGCCAGTTGATACTGCTATCATCTGGACTTACGAGAGAAGTGTGATGGACCCTTGCATGTAGAAAGGTCCTCTCTCTAGCTACTGTATTCCCCCTGTTTTCGGCGAGAACTTGTTCATTGCCCTGCGTGTTGCAGCAGAGGGGCGCACAATTCCACTAATGTTCCCCGCGCCCCCCGCGTATCTGGGAGCCTAAGAACACGGCAGAGCTGCACAAGTATGTACCGTCTTGCAGCAGTCCACTGGTACGCCAGCAGTCGTGAGAGACGCGATGTTGACTCAAAGGACACAAGTAGATCTAGCAGTCTAGTGAATAACCTTGAATACAGCGGAACACCAGTTTCAGTCATGTTGTATGTGGAGGAGGCTGGGGGACTGCTGTGTAGCACAAGTGCAATTGATAGTCGGCAGCAAGCCTTCCCCTTTTCGTCGTCCTTCTCAATATTGCGCAGGATGCTCATCGGTACATTTACAGTCACGCCCATTCCCCTCTACCTCAATCGAGTCCTGCGTTGACTACAGCATCTGATTTTCACCAAGGGTGTGTGAATACCACAGCAGTGGCATGCTTGCCGTTGGTGCTGCCTCTTTCTTTTTTCCCCACCGCACCACTGACTGTGGGTTCACTGGCGCACAACAGTAAATAGTCGAAAGCTCTCACGATCAGCACGGTGGCGCGCAACAGCATTTCCAACTTCTCTTTTCACAGCAGTTGCGCAAGCGGTAGCAGCCGTAAGAGGGTGGAGAGATGTCACCCCCCTCCCCCAAGACTGATTTTCAAAGCTCGATGACCCCGCAACCAAAAGCACACTTATGCTTACCGCAGTAGAGGTCCGTGTTTGGTGCTGGGGTGCGCGCAAAAATTTCACCGGCACTAAACCAACACCGGCGCTATTCAGAGTACGCAACGACTTGATATTCCTATGTGTGCGAGCCGAAAACACCGGCACTATACCGGCAACCGACACTTTCAACCGGCACTAACCAGGGACCTATGCTTGCACTAACACCAACGGCAGTGGCGGTGGTTTTTCAAGCAGTCCCTCCGCGAAAAACAAGAAACGGGAATAAATGTCTGCCAGTCATTGGTCGAAGGGGCTACAGTCCCTCCCCAAGAATCTGAGCTCCTTGCCAGACAAAGGGTGACTTGGCTCCAGCATGAAAAGTGTGCCCAGAATACGTGGGGACACTGTACATTCTCAAGCCAAGTGTTCAATGTTTGCCAGTACCAGGCGGTGTACAACTCCATCTCCCAGGGGACAGCAAGCCGGAGGCCGAGGAGAGGCATAGCACAGCATGTCACACAGCGTACCACCTCAGCCAAGGATGATAGACCAAGTGTTCTCACGTGCGTTTCACGCACCTGAACCTAGGGCGGCTACAACGGTGCGGCAATTAAACTTTTGAATGCTGGGTCCCCAAAGTGTCCCCATTCGGGCGTCCGGTACTGTAGAAGTGGTTAAGGACGTACCAGCACACGGTTGTACTCTCAGCTTTCCTTCACTTGCACCATCACCGTTACCGAAGGGGACCATGCACCAAAAAGAGGTGGACAGATGGCACTCCCCCTTAGACCGGCTTCCAAAGCTCGATTACTCCACGACCAAGATTGTCTTACCGTATACCGTATACCGTATGCCGTACCGTGGTATTCCGTAAGAGGCGGAGAGATGGCACCCCCCCTTTGACCGACTTCCACAGCTCGATTGTTCCACAACCGAATGGGGTACGGGAAGGAGCCCCGACACGTGCCTTCGGAAAGCCCTCGACGTCATGTTTGCAAAATCACCGTGCGTACTGTGTGTGTGTTTATGTCTTTTTTGTTATGGCGACGGTAGTCCCCCCACTTATTATCGTGGTGACAGGCGAACTACACTTTTCAGTGCATGTAGAGTACCACACTTTTCAGTCTATTTTCTCGTCTCAACTGCAACCATTCAGGGTAACACGGGAGGGATCAAACACCAGGAAGTTTTTCTAGGAGGGTTATTAAGCACAACTTGGACCCTGGTTGTCGTAACGTGTTGGTGTAGTTGTTTGATCCTTTCGTCTGCACTATGCGCCCGCACTCAAAAGGCCTAATTTTGGACGATGTTGGAGATATTTATCCCTAGGGTTATGCTACGAACGACCAATGTTTAGGTTTTAGTGTAGGGGTTCTTTCCGATGGTGTTCTAATGCTTTATTTTTTTGCTTTTATTCGAGGGCTATTCCAATTTCTTGGCTGCAAAGTTCTCACGTGCGCCGAATGCTGCTGTTCTTACTATAATAGGTTGCTGGTTTTCTTTCGAGCAGCATTGTTTCGTTGCACGCGTACAGACACGCGTACAGCAGAGATCCCTCGATAGTGCCGGTCGAACAGTGCCGGTGTTGTCGGCTCGCACACACTGAGTTTACAAGCCATTGTCAGTGCTTTTGAGTAGTGCCGGCCCGGTATAGTGCCGCTGAATTTTCTGGGCACACACCGGCACTATACAGGGACCTCTCCTGCTGTACATCGTATACGACACAAGATAACACACCCCCTGGACCGATTTTGAAAGCTCGATTACTCCACGGCGAAGAAGATGCATAAACGAAGCAATAGGATCTCGGAGAGCTATCGACCAGACGACTTCAACACCGCGTTTTTCAGCGCTGCGACCCTTTCTGCTGTTGATAAATCGAGCTTTTGACAATTGGTCCAGGGGAGGTGGTGTCTTGTTGTCATAATAGGTACTTACACAGCAGCAGCCCTTTGTTCATCGGAAGAATCCTTTGATTTCTGACTAGATCGAAATATGCTCTCATAGCTTCATGTTCCATGGCCACAGCTTCGTTTTTTTTTTTTTTCGTCTGCCTACAGGGTGCGTGATGCTGCTTGTTTGCAGAATCCTTCTTGACTAGATCGGCAGCATCCCCTACAAGCTTTGTGTTCATTGCCCGAAGTTTTTTTGTGCCCCCGTTTGCGTGTGTGCGCGCTAAATTCACAAGGGGTGTGGCATCCGCACGCTTTCGCGGGGCGGGGACAAAGAGGCTTGTGCCCCTTGGCAGGCGTTCGTTCTCTTAGCACCAAGGCCAAGGAAGACGAGGAGGATAAGGATGAGGAGGGCGGAGGGGCAGGGGGAGAAGGGGAGGTGAGAACGATGGCCTCTGTTGTTGGTGTTGCTGTTGGTGTTGCTGCTGTTGGCGTTGCTGCTTCTGTTGGTGTTGCTGCTGTTGGCGTTGCTGCTGCTGTTGGTGTTACTGCTGCTGCCGTTGGTGTTGCTGTTGTTGCTGCTGCTGCTGATGTTGGTGCTGCCTCTGATGTTGGTGTTGCTGCTACTGATGTTGGTGTTGCTGATGGTGTTGCTGCTGTTGTTGGTGTTGCTGCTGCTGCTGCTGCTGGTGTTGCTGTTGGTGGTGATGGTGTCGCTGCCACCACGATCATTTTTGTTGCTAGGTTCCTCCGCGGCTGCGGCGTACGCACTGTTTCAGCCTACAGCTACTTTTTGTTTTTGTTTTGTGTATTCTTGAGGAGGCGTCTAAACTTGGGGTTTGTCGCAAAAGCTTTGCAATAGCGACGGCTTAACCCTAACTAACCCCCCAACACTGCCGTCACCAATCGGTTAACAACATAATCTTGAAGGACACTCCCCCTGATAAGGACAACTCTGTTCCACAGGCATGGTGGCTCGCAGCATGTACGTCGTGAGGAGGGGTATCAACCTTGTGGATACTGCCCCCGCTTTCTTTAGCAAAAAAATCCATGTGTATCCTTACCCGAAGGACGACTGTATCCATGAGATTTCATTTCGCCCTCAGGGGCCCCGCAACTGCATGCATACCATTGTATTGGTCTAGCTGGCCTTTTTTCCTTTCGTCGGTCTAAGGAGGCGTCGAAAACTGCTCGTGCTTTCGCCGTCAGCAGAGCAATAGCGAGAGCGAGGGGGAGGAGGAGGACCAGGAGAGGTTAGTGGAGAAGCTCCTGAAGACGGAGAAGCAGCTTGCGGACAACAAGGAGAAGGTGAGAAGAAATTTCCAGGAAATTTCCGTTGTGGAAGAAGGACTCTTGTGGCCCCGTGTTGAGTGTACGGGACAGACCAATGCCGACATACGGTAGAGGTCCCTGTTACGTGCCGGGGTGTTCGCAAAAATTTCACCGGAAGTATACCGGGCACCGGCACTATTCTTCAGAGTGCCTGAATAGTGCCCAAAGGGGCACCTTTCAGGGCCTGAAAATCCCTCAATTGTGGCAGACCGGCACTATTGACGAACTGTGTGATTTCAGAGTTCAGCGCTTTGCTTTGCGAGGCCAACAGATTACCCCGTGAAACGTACATGGTGAGATCATGGCATGGGCGTCGCGGGCAGACTGTTGTGCCACGATAGGGGTGGTTCCTGCCCTGCCGGACACACATGTTTTGCTTAATAAGTTAACTGGACGGGACACACATGCTGCACCTTGTTGCTGTACCCACCTCAGCGCACGTACACACTTGCACAACCTGACTTAAACCCTTCAAATGAATATTGCAAAGGATGCACCTCATAGATGTCCAATATTTTGTTGGCAAGAATGCCGTGGCGCTGGCCTTAAACGGATTCCACCATTTCGCGCAACCTCAACATCACACCTCGACAGCGAAAGCAAACCACTGATCATGAAGCCCATGGATTTTGGGCGGTAACACTTATGCGAAGCTCCTGCTGGCACAACCTATTGGTGAAGGAGGAACTAGATCTGTCTCCTCCTCACCCTCCTTCGATGTAGCCAGAACAAGCAAAAAAAAAAGACACGACCGCAAGAACGAGACATGCAAGAAATCAAACAGCCGCTGTATAGCTGTAACCCCCGCCCTCACTAGAGCTGTTCGGGTCTGCAGCAGCACGTGTACCCTCTCCTCTGTGTCTGTCTTCTGTGTTGTGTTTGTCTCTTGTGTGTTGTGTGTGCGTGCGTGCTTGAACCGGCACTATTATGGGGTCCAGTGGGGCCCGAACCGGCGCTATAGTGGGCAGCCCTGAATAGTGCCGGTCTGGCACTATTCAGGGCGGGTTCTGTGCGCCGAGATTCGACCGGCACTATACCGGCAACCGGCATTAAACAGGGACCTCTACTGTATTGTATCATCACCGAATGATGTCCCCCTCCCCCCCCCCCGGTTCTTCAAATTTTCGCGTCTCCCGGTGCCTCTTGTTGTAGTCTTTCCGCCGGCCGGAGCGATGAAACGAGGCCGACCGGCTTGGTGCTTTCACCGCGGGATGTTGCATTCCCCCTTCTTCACTTCTACACTTGCATTTGTTGTTTGCACCTCTAGGTTGCCGTTGTTGCATTCCAACCGCCGAACGATTCGGCCCGACTTTGTACTTCCACCGCATGGTTTTGCGCCCCCCCCCCCCCCCCCCCCCCCCCCCCCCCCCCCCCCCCCCC